AGCATCTTAGCTGTGGAGGGCAGTGTCACTGGCCCTCATATGTGGGATCCGAACTGGGGCCCTCTGGCATCCCAAGCCAGCTCCCAACCAACGTGCCACTTGGCCGGCCCCATTTATGCACTCTTTTAATCTTCACATTATTTTGTGGGGGAGGCTCTGTTCCTATGCCCTGCTTATAAAGGGGAAACTGAGGCATGGTGTCACGTAACTCTCCTGGGTCACCCAGGTAGGAAATGGTGGAGCTATGGCCACTCAGAGGACTGGGGGTGGCTATCCTGGGTCCTCCACCGTCACCAGGGGACTCGCACAGCTCAGGCCTCTGCGTGTTGTTCCCTGGACCTGAGCCACATTCCCTGCAGCGCCCACATGCTTTGCATCCTCCATTCCTTCCCACTTTCACCCGGGTGTGACCTACCTCACCACAGGTCCCTCTGAGACCCCCACGAGCCTTCCTCATCTGCTCTTCTCTCCACAGCTGGCACGTTATACTTTTCTTTGTTGGGGCGTGAGCTGCATAAGGTCAGGGGTGTTGGGATTTCTGATCTGTCCCCTCTTAGCTGCAGTGCTGGGAGTGGCCTTCCTGACCAGGCCCGACAGGCGCTCACATGTGGGGAGTGGGACAGGTACACACAGATTGGAAGCAGAGAGCAGCGTGAGGCAGCAGGTGCCATCAGGTGTGGGCCCTGGCTCTGTTGCAGACCACACAGAAATGTGCCTTGGCGCCGCGGCTAGGCCACTGCTCCACATGGAGGGCCCCCGAGCACATCGCAGGGCACACGCCTTACCCCTGCTGCTGCCGCTGCCCGACCAGGCGGCCCTCGTTGGGAAGCTGTCCCTCTGTGTCATTCTTGGTTAAACACGGATTGTCTCAATCTCTCCTCGCACAGGTGGATGGCATCCTCAAAACCGTGCTTCGGGACGAGATCATTGCCTGGCACAAAAAAACGCAGGAGGACACCTCCTCTCCTCTCTCGGCTGCTGGGCAGCCGGAGAACATGGACAGCCAACAGCTGGTGTCCCTGGTTCAGAAAGCTGTCACCGCCATCATGACCCGCCTGCACAACCTCGCTCAGTTTGAAGGCGGGGAGAGCAAAGTGAACACGCTGGTGGCCGCCGCCAACAGCCTGGACAACCTGTGCCGCATGGACCCCGCCTGGCACCCCTGGCTGTGACAGCTGCTCCCAGCACCTGGAATGTGAAGGGTGCCTCAGGCCCCGAGCCACCAGCTTCCAGCTCTCTGCCTTATTCACTTGGTTCTCAGAAGTCCTGTCGTTTTACTGTGATGATGAATTATCTATCTTACTGGTCGCTTGTGCAAGAGTATTAATTCAGCTGTGGAGGAAGCTGAGCTGTTACAATGGTGAGGCGAATCGAATGGCAGAGCCGAACCTTACTCCAAGCTTTTATAACGACCTCTCAAGAAACCGGGACCCTGGCCTGGAGTTCTTTTGTGAATTCTTTTATCGCATCCCTCCCTCCTTGTGAGCACCCCGATGGAACTGTAAGAAGCAATTCCCTATGACTGTTTTTAACTCTTTCAGAAGTAGTACCCCATAGGCGCTTCATGCTTTTGTACAGGCCTTTGTAACAAGTGTACAGAAAACCCACTTTGTTAGAGAAACAGGAATTATGAACAAATCGTGCTGGTTTTTCTCTAAGCACAAACTTTTACGCTGTATGAACTGCTCTGGGAATCTCAGTGTTTGATGTGGATCCACACGCCTCGTCTCATCACCCTGCGGGGACCACCATTCCTCACATGCTGAGATGTGGGTTCCACTGGGAGAGCGGCAGGTGACTTACACTTTTTATTGGCCGGCTCTTTGGATGTCTCCTAGACATTTACTATCACTGTACCTGGAAAAAAAATCCCTTCTTCCTCCTAATTTAAAAAGAAACAGCAACACAAGTTTGTCTGTTAACTCCAGTGTGTGTTCACAATTTTATAAATATGAGTATTGAGAATGTTCTATCTAAATTTGTACAGTGTGATTTTTTTAGAATAAATATTTTATAAAAGGGTGTGTTGTTCCTTATATGTTAAAATGCCTGTTTCTGTGAGGTGTTTCCTCTTGCTGAGCGTGCCTCTGGTCCTGCCCAGCGTGGGCCGTGCTCCCATGAAGCTTTGTGGTGATTGACACGTGCTGCCTGGGCCTCCACCTGGAACTCGGGTCTGAAGCAGACACTCAGCCTGTTCTGGGACAGTGACAAGGAATGCTGTTCTTGACCTCCATAGTGTGAGGGGCGCCCAGGAACCTGGTCCCCTTCTGCTTTGTTTACACGTTTCAGGGTGGCTGTCCTATGACCTGTGTGCAGAGGTGACACCAGCAGGCAGCTGCTTCAGGGGCTGGAGGCCTCAGCTTGGAGCCGCATTCCCAGCAGGGCCGTTTCCTGGTGCTTGGAGCATCTCCGAGTGCTCAGCTCCACGAGCTTGTCCTGTTCGCCTGCACTTCAGGTGGGAGTGACAAAGCAGGATCGCTGCCCTGGAGGACGTGGGAGGGACAGTGCCTCATGTGGCTGTGATGTCCCAGCATGAGCAACTGAAGGACAGAGGATGGAAGTGTGCTGCTTTAGTTCTAAAGCGAAGATGCTGAATATAAAAGGACTCGCCTGTTGGAAGTGCCTCGTCTGCTGTGAGGATGGTCTTTATACAACTCGGGCCAGTCGGGGCCAGGGCTTGAAACCCTTTTCAGGCCCTAGCCTCTCCCAGGCCTTCCCTGTGCCCCATGTTGTTCCCCGTTGTCCCAGGCCAGCATGGGGTGAGGCCTGTAGTTGAGGTCACTCAAACTTGACCACGAGGTCCAGTCTGAGGGCCATAACCCAATGTGCTAGAAGAAGCAAAGCTTGAGGATGCGGTGGTGCTGGATTGTGACCGGGATGCCAGTTCATCTGCAATGGGTGGGACTGATGGCTACACCTGGAGGTCTTTATACCGATGTCCAGTCCTCACCTGTAGATGGGCCCAGCAGCCCCCAGGCAGCAGCCCCCACACTTTACAGAGAAGGGACTTGCAGCTTCCAGAGCGTATCTCGTTCATGGGCTTAGGGCCAGCCATGGAGAAATGGAGTAACTCTTGTCCAACGTGACTCCGACCCTCCTCTCTCTTGCTCCCCCTGCACCCTGTGACAGGGTTGAAGGTTGAGGGGCCAGGTATTGTCTATCTGGTTGGACACTCCCATTCTTTCTTTGGAGCTAATTGCAAGTTATTTTACAGTTACATGGAGGGCTGTTTTTGTGAGAGTGTCTTGGATTCAGAATGACAGGAGCTGTGTATTGAAAATGACAGGTGATGGCCGACTGGCAGCTAATAGGTGCTGTGATGCAGCCACCAGGCCTGAGGGGAGAAGGTGCCCCTCTGACTGTCCTCACTGTAACAAGGTCTCCAAGTCTGGGGTCAGGTCATTTGACACATTAAGTTTGCCTTTCTGCTCTTGGAGAATCACATGGTGTGTGTGGGTTGATGTATGAATGGCGTTTGGGTCCAGGGAGTCTGGAGTCCATGTACTGGTGAGAGGGCCAGGTGCCATCTGAGACTCGCCTACACCACATCCCAGGCTCAGACCCTGGTTTCTCGGAAAACCAACCTTTGAACAGCCAGGGCAGGAGAGCGTTCCCGGGGAGATCCAGCATCTTCTGAGTGCCATGTGTAAGTGGCAAGATCAAGGACCTGCTGTTGGGAGACCAGAGCCAGAGCCTCCGAGACCACAAGACTCGGCTTTCTCACCTGAACATGGCGTTGCTGGGAGACAGGCCCTCAGGAGTCGCTCAAGGTCAGAGAAAGGGCTCCTTTGCGGGGGTGGGGGGCGGGTGGGCGGCACACCTGGTATATGTCCTGATTGTCCAAACACTACTTCAAGGTAAGCACTGTTATTATTTTATTGTGGAAAACACACATAACAAAATTTACCATTTTAACCATTTTTAAGTGTGCAGTGCAGTGGCATTAAGGACAATCACGTTGTGTAACCATCACCATGGTCCATCTCCAAAATTTTTTTCATCTTCCCAAACTGAAACTGTCCCCATGAAACACTAACTCCTTGTTCTCTCCTCCCTCAGCCTCAGGAAAATAGTCTTCTACTTTCTGTCTCTGAATTTATTCCAAGAATCTCATCTAAGTGGAATCATACAATACGCGACCTTTTGTGACTGGCTTATTTCACTCAGCATAACGTCCTCAAAGTACATTCATTTTGTAGCACATGACAATTTTCTTCCTTCTTAAGGCTGAATAATATTCCATTGCATATATATACACCACACTTTGTTTATCCTTCTTCCATCGATGAACACTTAGGTTGCTTCCATCTCTTGGCTTGTGAACAGTGCTGCTATAAACATGTTTGACTCCCAACTTTGAATTCTTTTGGGACTATACACAAGTGGAATTGCTGGATCTTACAATTCTATTTTTCGTTTTTTAAAGAACTGCCATCCAGTTTTCCATCATGGCTGCACCATTTTACACTCCCACCAACAGGCACAAGGGCTCCTGTTTCTCCACATCCTCACCAACACTTGTTTTCTGATAAAAACACTTTTTTATGATAATCATCCGAATGGGTGTGGTTTTGATTTGCATTTCCCTAAAGATTAGTGATGAGCATCTTTTCTTGAGCTCATTGACCATTTGTGTATCTTTGGAGAAATACCTGTTCAAACCTGTTGCCCATTTTTTTTTTGTTTGTTTTAAACAACTATTTTTATTTCTTTTTTAAGATTTTTTTATTGGGGAATTGGGGGGATGGGAACAGTGCTGGGGAATTGGGGAAGGGGAACAGACAAGTTGCTGTCGTTTTGTTCTTCAGTCTAGTTGTGGAGGATGTCGCTTCACTGGCCCAAGTTGGCACCATCATTGCGCTCTTCCCCAGGTGAGGCAGATCAGTCGCCGGCTTTTGGACGGCCGCTCACTGCGGCTGCTGGCCTCTCACGCTGGCTGCTGGCTACATACGGTAGCCCATGGTCACCCACTGCCACAGGGGCTGCAGCCTACGCTGTCGCCGGCAACTCATGTGTTGCCCATTTTTTAATCAGGTGGTTGTAGGAGTTCTTTATATATTCTAGATATTAATCCCTTGTCAGATATGATTTGCAGATATTTTCTCCCATTCTGTGGGTTGCCCTTTCATTCTGTTGATAGTATCCTTAAATGCTGCTGCTACAGATGATTGTTATTAACTTTTTAATGTCATACCTGACAAAGGAAAAATAATTGGTATACAAGAGAAAAGTTTGGGAAATACTAGTCTAACCATCTCATGGTATATGGGTTTCTTTATAATAGTGCATGACTTTTTAAAAATTTATAGCTTATATTTAATTCCAAAATTTCATGTAGAGTCAGTGTGGACTTATATCATGCATACATCTGTAAATGAAAATCTTAAATAAAATACTGCTAAGTATAATTCAGACCTGTTTTTGCTCCTATGCCTCATGAATGTGGTGTGATAAAACCTAGTTATGGTACATTATCCTTTTTATATGTTTCTGAATAACATGCATTGTTTTTAAGGAATTATCTAGTTACTATATTCATCTTGAACTTATCAGCTTACCTTCAAATGATACTATCCTTCACCTATAATAGTAAGAATCTGACAACAGTGAACTTCCACTTCTCCCTTCCCATTATGCTATTAATGTTACATATTTTATTTTTATGCATTATTAATTTCATAATACATTGTTACTACTGTTTGCATTAGACCATGCCTTCTTAACAATATCAAGTGATATTGTTCCCTTATCACTGGGGGGGTAAAGGGGTTGGGTGAGGAGATAAAAACACCTATAAATTTCCTTGGGAAGGTGGTATATATTCATTTTTTTAGTTCCTAACAGGGTTTTTTGGTGTGTTTCTTAGGTTTTTCTATATATAAGAACATGTTTGGTCTGCTTTGCTCTCTGGTTTATGAAAGGGGGTGGGGACCAAACTGCCAGTGTCCCCAAACCATGCTGCCACACCAGAGAGGGGGAGAGGCAAAGGCAGGTAAAAATGCCTTCAGTTTTCCTACTTTTATGAATATAGTTTTTGTTTTTTTTTTAATTTTATTGGGGAACAGCCATGGTCATTGGTTACATTGCTTTCATGCTACAGTGGCATAGTTGACTCTTTTAGGGAGGGTGCAGCTCACCATGGCCCATGCAGGGATCAAACCGGCAACCTTGGCGTTATCAGCACCACGCTCTAACCAACTGAGCTGACCGGCCACCCCAGAATGTATCGATAGCTTTTTCTTGATTGGGCTTTTGCTTGGTTACAGGTCTTTGCCTGATTCCCGGAGCTGCCATAATTATTTTAGCCAGTGTTTAGTTGTTTGTCTAATGATTCCTGTGGGGTAAGGACTGGGGCTGCCTAGTCCTCCATGTTGCTGATGTCACACTAGGCAACTTATTTAAATTTTTCATTTTTTATTAAGCTATAATTTACAAAAGTGTATATTTTTAAGATTGTAAATGATTACGTAAACATACTAATTTTAACACTAGACTAAATCCAGCCTGTGGTTCACAGAAATAAGCTCTGAGGCGCCAGGGTCTTCTCAGTACCGATCACATAGTGAGTGACATGGCACCAGCCCAAACCTCTCCTCCCAGCCTCACATTCTAGGCAGAAAAAAGGGAACAGTTACCTCAGGAGACTCACTTTTAAATAAAGTACACCTTTATGTCTCAGAGGACTCTAATTATTGTTGAGTTTCCATTTATGAGAACTCAACATTATTTTAGAGGAGAGATAAGAATTTGCTCTTTTTCTGGGCCAATAAAAAAACTTAAGTAGCAAAGCAAAAGTACTATTTTTATACTAGCCAGAAGCCAAATAAGATAGAAATAAATTTGCAATAAGATCACATTTTATATTGTACATTTATAAATCATATCCTAAAAATTATAGTTTTATGAAGCTTCCATTTGAGCTGTGCAATCACCTAAATAACAGCAATTAAACTTAAAGAGAAAATGGTCAAAATTATTTTAGACAAAATAATTATTGCTGTATTTATGGATTACTTTAGAGGAT